GGGGGGCCCCCCAAGTTCACGCACGGGGGGCCCCCCAAGTTCACGCACGGGCCCATCACACGGGTGCCACGCTCTGCTCCTACACCAAGCCAGGAGGAAGGCGGCAGCGGCCCCGTGCAGGTGGAGTCACCTTCGCAGGACCAGAGCCCGCAGGGGGAAAGGCCGATTTTCATCTTAAGAACCCGCCTTCGTACAGCAACGAGGAACGCGGACTCCCGCGTCCTTTAACTCACGCACGAAGCGAAGCCTTACCCTATCCCCTGCTTCCCCCTCGCCTTCCCGAGGGCGAGACCTCACGGACAGCAGCGCTTTCAGATCCTCTGACAAAAGGTGACAATACATGGTCCAAATATATTCCTTACTCTTAAAACTACCAAATAGGCGACACCGATGGGAATTTCATTTAGGAACACATCTTTCTGAAGACAATAATAAAGACTTCTCATTAAGGCAGGGATTATTATTAAATAAATTAATGTGGACTGTAGCGTTGTCACCGGGCAGGGAGAAAGACCATAAATCTGCCGGGTTTTAAAGAATATCCTGCATTCGGTGCACTTAGGTTAAGCTGAAGCATGTTGCTGCTTTCTTTTCAAACCTCACATAAAAACTGCACGAGCAAAGCTGTAAAGGCAACTGATTTCTGGAAACTCTTTTTTCCAGTGCTGCCCCAAGTCATGCAACATGTTGCAAGTCATTTAACAGATGCTGTAATCCATTTTACAAATCTCAAAGCTGAACGTTTGAATTTCTGCTTGCCAGTGCTAGTGAGAGTAAAACAATGTCCAGACAGTTGCTGATAGGGTATTACGGAAGACAACTAGGAAAGCATTGACAAAATTTAAGGCGGCAGCAGTGTATTTCCATGCGAGTTATTCAATATATTCTCCTTACGCTGGTATAAATAGAAATGTCAGGTTGTGATGCAGAAAGCGCTGTCTGCCCCTCTGCCACTGTACTTGTTCTGCCCAAGCTTCCAAAGGCAAGCCAGGCTTACTCTGGATGCTTATCACCCACCGAGGATTATGTTTTCCAGGTGTAGAAAGACAACAGAGCAGCTCATACCTCCGAGCTTTCTACACACTGCCTACGCGCTTTTTAAATACGAATCATTTACACGCAAGTGCACACGGATTGACTCGAATTACCGTGCTCCGAGCGAGCGGATGGAAAGGACGGAGGGGCAGGTATGTCCATGGCCGTGTGGGGAGATTCAGGTGAGGCATCGCTGTTGCCTGAGCACCTCAGCCCTAACCTGCGTTAGGTGCTGCCGAGGCAGACCCCACCACCGGTCCTTTCGGAGCGGGGCAGCCGGCGCTTGCTAAGCGGGAGCCTGGCGAGGAGGAGCGCATCCCACGGCTGGAGCACGGCGCTTGGCAGCGGCAGCGCCTTCTCCAGAAACACTACTGGCAGAAGGAAAAAAGAAAAAAAAACTGTGTTAAGACTTCGCTCAGCTTCTCGCTTATTTTCCTGACCATCATCTGTGGTCCTTCGCCTGTGTCCATTTTCACAGGGATCTTCCAAACCTATTTACCACCGGGGATTTCCCTTCAGCACGAACCATCCCTCTAAGAAATATTTCTTAGAGCAACGTTACAGGGTCCCCCCCCTCCACGGCCTTAATAATCACGGCCTTCCCGTGATCCCTCATACATAAAACCATACGGGAAAGAACTATTTATGGCTTTGTCCAATCTCCGAACCAACCAACTGAACATAACGCCGTGTTTAATCTTCATTAAAACGCGTTGGCGCAGCGGTCCGGGGAGACGTGCTGTGCCATCTGCTGGCTGCCTGCGCTGGGCGGGCTGAATCGCTGCGTTCCCTCTTCCCTTCAGCCTTCATCCCAATGTTTCTGGGGAGCGCGTCCATAACAGCGCACTGATTTATCACTTCCCTTATTTAGTGCTCAGGTGGAAGTTGCCAGAATGTTGCGTGCCAGCTGCCTAAAGCTTTTCAAGGGAACACAAAGCTGCCTCGGATACTTACAGCTTGCCCGCAGATCTACGAAAGATCGTCCGCCCTTCGTTTTTGCACAAAGAGCGAAACGCAGGTGAGCAGGTGGTGTAGGAATGAGATCAGTTGGCATCTCTGCTGGATATTGTCCGCATCCCATGTGATGCAACACCATTCCTCCCCAGCAAAACCACCTAAGATGCTTTTTCTTTCCCCGGTAACCCTTTTACCGACCTCTTTGCAAAGGCTCAGGAGCGTAGCTCAGCATTATCAGTGGCGGCTTCCATCGTGATCCCAGCGCGGAGTTAAAAGGTGTAGTTTTGGGAGAAGCTCTAGTTCCCTCCTTGGTAAGGCTGGGAGCCACTAAAAGCCATGCATTTCTCACTGGGAAGAGCAAGCAGCAATGCTGTTGCTTGCTGCTCACAGTAAGGGAGGATGAGTAAGCACAGGTGAAGGACACCTCTGTCCCCACAGGTAACAGGTTACCCATCTTACCTGAGGCAATCGGGTTACAGAGAGCATTGCTCAAAGGAGAAAACACCTTCAGGGATCTCTCCGGGCAAGCCTTGCTTTTGCCCCAGTGAGCCTCCCGCAGAACAAAGCCCAGGGTTTGGCACACGCCGCGGCCCGAGGAGCTGAGCGAGCCCCAGCTTCCCCGGAAAAGCAGGGCTCCAGACTGCGATGTTCATCGGAAAACAGCTGCTGCCAGGAACCCTCACGCATCAGATGCTCTCTGGCTTTTGACCTCATACAAGAGCCCCCGCTCCCTTTTGCTACATGCAAAGGACCGTATTAATTTCCGTGTCCCAGGAGGTTCTTTTGATCTTAACATCCTTCCTCTCCTTTGCAGGGATTTTGCCACATGAAAAGCACATCTAGGCTCACCCCCAGCCACTTCAGGATGTGACAAATTAATCCTTACTCCTGCACTTACCTGCCACCTTTCCTCTCCCCGTACAGACACCTGCTACCAGCACAGGCAGCAAGTCCCAGACTGACCTGAAGCACCGAGTTTTTCTTCTCCGCTGCCTTCAACGCTCCTCTGCCCCTTACGGTAGTTCCCATTGCCCCTTGCTGTGCAAAGCACCACGGTTCTGCAGGCAGGCAAAGACCTCCCCAAGCTATTTCATGGAGGGGATCAATTCCCAATGCTTTGTAGCCTGTTTCTGTGGAGCAATTTTTTTTTTTTTTTTTTTAATTACACAGCATTTAACTGCTGTTTGGCCTGTCAGCAGCAGGGGGCAAACAAACGCAGGGCCACTGAAGTCAGCAGAACTAGTTGTTTCGCTATTTTGTCCTACACATCTACCATGCAAGAATCTCCTCTGGAATCACCATGCATAGCTCCACATCCCATGGATTCAGGACATAAGGACTACAAAAAGGCTCCTTACTTCTGGTCCCATGTGTCCAGCTTACGTTTACTGTTTTTCTACTTTTCCCTTTAACATTCAGCTTTGAAAATTAACAAAATACTCTCCGGTCAGCAATTAACAGGGTGTTCCTGGCAGAAACAGGCCTAGGGTGTAAAGATTTACATTAAAACCTATAGAAGCACATTTTACTTGCAGAAAATGCGCCTGCATGTTTGAACTATAGCATCTAGCCTGTCACAGGATCAAGAACACACGCTCGTATTTTGGCTTCCCCCAAGAACTATCGCACACACACACAAACAAAACCCCAAAACAACCCCTCAAAACAAACCTCCTAGATACACTAGTGCTTCTATAACACGAAACCGCATTTATTGACAATTATTCCCCTTAACTGATTTCACGTGGGAAACAGACAGCAGTACCTTTCAGATGCTACTGGTACACAAACCAAGGCATGGGCTCCCCGAAACCTGTCCCTGGTACAAGCGCAGGTCTCACTTGAGACAGCGTTTGTTAAACTTTTAAGAAAAATTAATCAGTTGTTCCTCCTTTACAGCCTGAACTGGAACTGGCCACTCACAAGCAGCTCTGAGCAAGAACTTCAGTGTGGGGTGAAGTCTGTTTTCCCACCAAAAGGCATGGAAGCAATCGAAACGTTTTGAAAGTTTACCTTCAAACTGAAGACAACGTTACATCTTACCAGTTTGTCCTGTAGCCATGCTACGTCAGACCTATAACAGCAGACAACAGTTAACATATTTATCATGGATGAAGTGAATGTATTTATCACAGATATAAATAACTATCAAGTCCAGAAAAGTCCTTGCTTTGCTTCTTACTGAATTCAGGAGGGGAAATGGTATCTCAGGCCACATGGATTTAAGTAATAGCTTTGTGTTCAGTTACAAAATTAAAAAGATAAAAGGGAGCCTAAAAGTAGTTAGTTCTTAAATGTATGAGCACAAGGAGTTAATCAGAACAAGAATTAGAGAAAACGCCATAACCACACATACCTCGTTCTGCGGCTCAACACAGAAAAAGGATAGACCGGAACAAGACAATAAAAAGGAGGGGAAGGCAGGGACAGCTGCACAAATCCCATCCTCGCCCACCCTCGGGAGGTGCCTCCATCCCACCCCCATCTCCCCATCAGTCCCGCATGGCCCATTTCATTCCCTTCGCCCGACACGTCCCTTGCAGCCTCTCAAAGCCAGCGTTTACAGTACGGAAAGACGACAGCATCGCAATAGAGAACACCTTAACACGCAGGCCAGCCGAGGAAAGGGCCCTGTGCTGCTTTTAGAGGTGGCACCTTCTGAAAAGCATCCCTGAAAAAAACCCAATACCACCCCACCCCTAGTTTTCTTAAGGATAAAAACCACAATGTGCTTTATAAAATTTTTATTGCATTCAGTAGTGCTACTCGCAGCTCTCAGGGACAGAGAAAAGTAAGTATCATTGAAGCTTCCTGCTTTTCTTAACTCCTGCGCGAATGCCAGACAGCTCCCCGGCATATCTGTGCAATTCTGTCCGAACTTCACGGACCTGGCCCTTGCGGCGAATCTTGGCTCGCCGAAACTTCTCCCGATGCTTGACCCTGGGGTTGCGATCGATCTTCTTCCTTTTGGGCGTGAGGCCTTTGTTCTTGATCATCTGATAGGTCACACCTCTCTTTTTATTTGGATCCTCTCCTTCCAACACCGCTTCTTCTTCAAGCGTGTCTTGGTCTTCAGCTCTCTTCCTCTTGAGTTTCAACTTCTCCTCCATCATCTTATAGTATTTTAGGGCGGCCTCTTCGTCCAGGTCCGACTCATCTGACGGTTCATCAGCAAGCGCAGGAGCACGTTTTGGTTTGTTTTTCTTAACATCCAATGGGAGAAACACCGCAAACTTCTTCTCCTTCCGTAATTTAAGTTCCTTCTTATCATAGTAGTTTCTCAAAAGCATACGAACTTGTGAGGATAACTTTTGATCTATAACAGCTAGGTCATTGATTATATTTCTGTAAGCAACCAGCCGCTCGATAACGGGGTGACTATGAACCGGCATCCTCTTGGACTTCAAAACCAAATAGAAACTGATATTGGCACAGTAATTCAAGTAGAGATGATACTTGGTCTGCAAATAGCGACTGCCTTTCCCTTGGGGGATAGTGCCGTCTTTGATCATTTGCAGCAGCGGGTGCAGTTCGTCCTTGAGCTCCATGAGCTTGACTTCAAAGTCCTCAATCAGCTGCAGGAGCTCAGGGGACTCCTGCTTCAGGAGCTTCAGCTGCTCCTTCTTGGAAAGGGCCTGCAAATCTTTGTCAATCTTCTGCGCCTTGCCATCGTGGGTTTTCTGCTGCTCAGCCACGTAGCCCTGGATCACATCCAACCCATAATCATCTTCCCCTAAATCCTGCGCCAACCGCCTCTGGATGAGTTGAGCCTCCTGCTCCTCTTCCTCCTCCTCAGCATCGACTTCTTGCTGGCTGCGCTTGCCCTTGGCCTGAGCATCGGTCCCGTAGTCCGTGTCGTAGTAGAGCTGCTTGCGTTGGCCCCAGGAGAGCTCATGGGGGAGCTTGGTGTCCTGACGGCGCTCCTCCAGGTCGCTTTCCATGGACAGGTCCCCATCTTCATCTTCAACCTCATCTTCCTCCTCCTCTTCACCTTCTCCATCCTCCTCCATCTCACCCTCTCCATCTTCACCCTCTCCATCTTCACCCTCCTCTTCTGCGCTGTGGTCCACGTAGAGATCCAGCCCCTGTACCTCCTCCTCCTTCTCCTCTTCTTCCTCACCGTGCCCGTCCTCCTCCTCCTCTTCCTCCTCCTCCTCCTCGCTGTCCTCCTCGGGCAGCTGCAGCCCCAGCACCTCTTCCTCCTCCTCCTCCTCCTCCTCGCTGTCCCCGGCCTCCTCCCCGC